AAGAAACATCGTAGTTTATTTGCGTCGCTAATCTAAACATTAAATCGTACGTTTTGTGACTCATAAATTTATAGTAACAATCTTTATCAAAATTCAAGGATCGATTTCAAAGAAAAATAATTGATAATAGAATCCATTTAGATCTGAAATTAATTTATTCAGAATTTCAATTAAAACAAAAAAAAACAAAGAATTACATATATAACTACGTTTGTATTTATTTTTCAATCAATTTCAATATAATAAATAATTTTTATAGTATTGTTTATATATCATAATTGACGCCAAGCAAGATCGGTAAAATGAAATTTGTTGTACCGTATATGATACGGTAGATCTAAATGGATTAATACTTTATTTTCGATTGGTGAAAATGTCGAAACATTTTTACCAAAATCACGGATAAGCCACGAAATCTCTGCAAAGACGCGCTAAAGAGTAGAACCGACCGGGAAAGTCCCTTCTTTTACGTTCCAGATTATTGTATAACCAGTGCCGCGAAAGGATCGTGTGAAAGTGGAGGAGGGTAGTGTGAAAACACGTTTCACTGTGGACGCTCACTTCGGACCCTCGGCCTCGTTTCAACGTTTTAATTGTTTCGTGCTCGCCGCTTTTCGTAATGTGCGCGAAAGAATGAGCAAGAGAAAGACGGAATAGAAGAAAGAGAGAACAGAGAGAAATAAAAGAGAAAGAGAGAACAGTGGAAAGAGTTGAAATAGGTATCCGGAGGTGGCATAAATATAAGGGCGTTTAAAAAGTGCTTAAGCGCGTAACCGGCTACCTACCCACCCGCTTTTCTCTTCCTGCGGTAACGAGGGTGAGACCGACGAAAATTTGGCGTAAAAACGCGGAGGTTAAGCGAGAATTAAAGCGTGCCGCAAAACCGGAGAAGCTGGTACAGTGAATTAAACGACCGTTTTGTCCCATGTCCTATTCTTCTTCGTCATCTTCCCTTATTCTTTTGTTGATCACTAAAATCGATCTCTTTTAATTTAATTTCTAAATAACTGCATTCTTACGGATTTTCTATTGAATTTATTTAACTTATCGTTCGCAAAATATAACAAAGGTTGATTTCATTTCATCCTGTTCTCTAGTTTTTTAAATCGATATCTTGTATCAATTTTCAATATATATTTTTTATATTTTTCTCAACGATTCGTTCTATCTAATAAACTTTTCATGATCTTCTCGATAAATTAAACAGATAAAAATCGTTTAAAATTTCCTTCGATATTAGAAAATAGATTTTCCCAAAGAGAAGGATATCGAAAATTCGAATTGCGTCTTGGGTACATTCATTTCGCGAGTTGACTCCGAGCTTTCTCAGATATATGGAAATTTCCTTAGCCTAGGACCGTATTCAGAGGGGAGGCCAAGTAATATAAATTCAAATCAGTCCCTGTTTTCTCACACAACAAACTTGGAGGAACTCCGAAGCTGGTTCTCCGACGGTAGTTACTGCCCCCTTCCTACACTCTACCACCTTCCGCGAACTAAGTACCCTCCTGCCCTGCCGGTTACCACCCCCTTAATGAAGATATGTGACAGAACAAACCGTCGTTCGAATATCTACCTCCCAACTATCCTCTCTTCCCTCTTATCAGAGAACATTTTCTAAGTAAACGCCGAAAATCTCATAGGAAGCATAATTTCACTCGAAATTCATCATAAATTCTTTCGATAATAAGTTCCTAAACTGTTCTCCGCTTGTACAAATTGTAAATATCGATAATGTACGATAAAATCTGAACTGTCCAATAACACAAACGTCCTAAATTCTATCGTAGAGTCACGCTAACAGTGACTAGGAAAATACTCGAGAGATATATTGCATTAATCCCGTCGATTGTTCTTCCAGTGGAAACTATTCGAGCGTTCTCTTGGTAGTTTCAGGCGAAGAATCCTCCGGTGGAAAGGGATACCGTTCGGTTTATCACGCCTTAAAATCTAGAACCTCCATAATTCAGAACCGAACGATATCATCATGAGTATAAGAAATCGAAGGATTAAGTTAGAAAATCAATTTCCCGATCCAATCTCGAAGGAGTTTCGCTGTTAGAAGGGAGTGTACTTTATGTATGTATATGCATTTCACGTTCCTTTCTACCTCCGTACTATCACCTTCGTCGACCTTCTCCTCTTGTCTTTCTCTTTCCCTTCTCTATTCTCTTGCTTTCCTCGTTGCTCCTGATGCGACAGGACCGAGTTTGCCTCGCCCCTTAATACCCGTCGCGATTTCCATAATCTTGGGAGGCGCCAGGGCACCCTCTTATAATATAATAATATACGCTAGAGAAGGTTCGCTTATACGCGCAGCGCGCGCGCGCGCGCGGGGGTGAGGGAGGCGAGTGAGTAGAAACGGGCGAACCTAGGAGCTCACACAAAATGGCCGACCACGTTAATGCCCCCTTAATATTTAGGGATCTTCTACGTCTACCGGCCTCGAATCCAAAGTACCACCAGTTCCTACTATCCACCTACCTACGAGCCCTCACTTGCTCGCTCGTCCTGCTTGCTTCCTCTTAAAATCCACTTTACTACCCCTATTAACGTAAAATATATCGGCCTAACGAAGCCGTTACTCGTGACTCGGAATTTTTCAACCAAACGTCAAGCAAACGATAAATAAATCAGATTAAATCTTCACAAGGACGAGAAAATGATTGAAGAGTCATAGTAGTAATTATGTCAGAGTTAAATAAATAACATAAAAGGATAACACATAGTTAGCTTCTTTAATTCTTATTGGAAAATGCTAAACAGTCAGGTGAACATGTTTTATTCAACGACGATTTTTTTCTTTTTTCTTTTCAGAAATTTTAATTAAAATTTACCTTAATGTATAATACTATCCAAATAAATATAAAAGTAATCTTACACACACACACATACAGTAAATTACATATATACCTAAATATATTTTATTCATTTCATATTATAATTATAATAAATTATAATGAAGCTTTATGCAATGGAAAAGAAAAAGATAAATTTAATTGTATTCCTTATCGAGAACAGTCACTTTAAAGACTTGCTAGCTTTGACAGATTTCCAATCGATTCTTTCTGGAACATCTTGCAGTTTGATATAGAAATAAAAACATAGAGTGTAGCAGTAGAATTCTCGAACGAACGTTACTCTGCTGACGATGCGAGAGGGGGTTGCCAGTAGTTTTAGGTTTTAGTCGTAGAGAAAGAGAAAGAGAGGTATGAGCGTGCTTAGATACCCTACCACCCCCTTTCTGTATGTGCTTCTCTTTTAGTAAATGAGCATATACGTGTATTTTCGGATTCCGTCTATCTTTCTCTTTCTCTCTCTCACTCCTTTCGTATATCTATTCCTTATATGTGTGTGCATGTTAACGCGCGAGTGCGCGCACGCACGCACACACATACGCTACAGTCGAGTAGGTGGAGGAAGGCAAGAGCGAGAGAGTCTAAGGTAGATTATATTATTTCTCCGCCCCTGCCGGGGGCTCACCCGCCATTTTGTGAATGTTAAATCATTTATTGATCCAAGAAGGTGGCACCCACCCTCCTTCGTGTGGCCGACCTAGCCACCCTCTTTCCTCTTCTCATCTCTCCGTTCTCTACCATCTCTTTCTCTCCCTATCTCTTTCTCTCTCTCTCTCTCTTTCACTCTTTCTCTTTCTCTTTCTCTCTATCTTATCCTGCACGCTAGCACTCAGCCTAGAACAGGCAAACCACCCGACGTCTGGAAAGGGGCCGATCCTTATTCCGCGAGTCGAATTTATATGCCCATCCTTATACAAGGACGTACATACGTACGTGTGTACGTAATCTACTCGCGTTCCTTCCTCTGTATCGGGAACGTGGAAGGAGAGAGAAAGAGGAGGAGAGAGAGAGAGTTTTGGTTCGAGGGGCGAATTTATGGCCTCACGGGGATCCCAGTAGAGTCCTTCGTTTGTCTCTTTCCTTTCTCCTTCGTCCTCTCCTATTCCTTTCGAATTCCTCCTTTTCTACTTCGAGGTTAGGTATATCTTTCCTTAGAATTCAACCCTTAACGTTTATCTAATCGAAGTTAAGGGAAAAACACTAAAACCACCCTTATCTATGTTATTATTAGGATGCTTTTCAATTTTCTTTTGTCAAATTCATTTTATTTCTGAAAAAATACACATACAATGTTAGGAGTTTTATGATACGTTCATGTAACGATATAATGTCAAAGCTAATTAACCTTTTTTTCTGTCAAATTTTTTATTCTGGTTATAACAAAATTTATACAACGGTAAACCAAAAAATATCAGACTCTAATCATAAGTACAAATGAACCTTGGATTTAAACTTTTTCATGATATTAGATTTATTTCAATATTATAAGCAACAGTTGATAGAAGCTAAAAATAATGTTATCAGACATCAAAAGAAGTTTCAGAACAAGAATTCTAGAAAAAAATATGTGACTATGAAGTCACACGTGACATAAAGTATTGACATAAAATACTACAATTAATTGCGTTTTACATTTCGATATATTATTGTAAATTAATCGAACTAGATATTATAGGCGAGTTGTTTGTCTTTAAATTGAAATAAATAAGAAATATTTTCTTTCGTTCCTTTTCAAAAGAAACCAAATAGAAAAGAAACTGGGGAATAAATACTAAATGTGTACTGCATCAGTATTAGTAGAAGAAAGTGTATACAAGGAAAGGAGAAAGATAGAAGGAGAGAAAAAGAAAGAAATCAAGAGATAAAAAAAGGATGTCGACAAAAGGATGCGCAGTCTCGGCAGAGGGTTAACCGGAAAAAGGTGATTTTTCCACGCGCAGAATCGTAAAAATCCGCGACGCGGGTTACCAAGAGTAAAGGGAAAGGAGGAAAGAGAAACAAAGAGAGTGACGATGGAGTGAAGGAGAGAGAACAAGAAAGAGACCGAGGAAGGGGCGGTCGATGAGGAGGGAGCAGTAGGAAGCAAGGAACGAACAGGGCCGAAAAATAAGGGCGAGGTCAGTTCGACGCGAGCCGTGGAAAAATTCGCTTTAAATTTATCCACCCGCTCCTCGGTGCTTCCTTTTTCTATCTACCTAAAATATTCAAGATCTCTTATCTAGTCGATGGACACGCGCACACATACACATACTCACGCCACACACATACTCGACTAGACGAGATCGTTGACACGCTTTGGATATACTTACTACATACATGTATCTATGTGGGATTGGTACGAGTACGAAATAACCGCATGCGTATTGAAACAACTTAGATGTCTTGGAAAACTATGGAATGTCAGGTACTTTTACTATCGTTTTTGTTCATTTGATTAGGAAAAATTATAAGAATCTCGTATAATTTATTAACAATTTATTTACATAATATATATTATACATATATACACAACATAGACAATTTGTATATATTTTATTACTAGCTTTTATTACTTACAATAATAGTTTCGTAAAAACACGAAAAAGTAATCATTACCTAATTGTTTGAAAATAATAATCTTATAATTAGATTATATTCTTTCTCTTTGCGATTAAAGAAAAAAATATTTGATATATTTGTGCAGTTATTAAAACAAATTCCACATATTACAAAGGATTTACAGTTTCAAATAATATACATCGTTTACGAATCTGAATAGTAATAATATATTCCCAACTTTAATGCATTCTCGAAATTACAATGATGAAGAAGTTACATTAATAAATTCAAACAAATAGATGTTGAAAATATAATACATCCTCTCATAATGATATTCCAACAACAGAAGGAAAAAGGAAAATTGCTAGCTTTGCACAAAATAGTATTAGACAGATGCGTCTATACGTACGATCGAGAATAGAATTCGGATGCGGAGACATGGCCGCGGAAGGTGTCGCGGAGAAAAATCGAAAGATCGTAGAGCAAAAGTTTGGTATTTGCCGCAAGTGCCCTAACTATCTCGTTCGTGGAATTCGGAGCACGGTGATTATATGGACAGGACGCGAAATCTCGGCTGTAGTCGAAATTTGCGGGACAGACGCGACACTCCCTCGATGTCCAAATTCGCATTCCGACACAACCAACACCTAGCTCGTACTTCCCCTCCTCCTCTTCTTTCTCCTCCTCCTCTTCATCCTCCTCCTTCTACTTCTCCTCCTCCTTCTACTCTTATACCACTATCCCTCTCTTATACTCTCGCTTTGCCGGTCTTTCCAACCAAACCAATTCAACACCAATCCTCCTCCCTCACACTTCTCACGCTGCAATCACCTCATGCACTTCTCTACATTTTGTCGAACACCCGAAGGCGACTCTTCGTTGAAAGTATTTGCTTCTGGTCTCCCTGTAAACGTCTAACCCGACTTCAAACTAATCGAGAACCTCGGATGAGTTTCGTTATTAATTTATTATCTTTCCTATTTGAATTCTTTATATGACTTTAGGATATTAAGGATAAACTTATCAATTTTTACGTATCTATTTGTGTATTTACCGATTTGATTAATAGTTAAGTAATAGAACCTTCCATTATATGCTAGTTGGTATAAAATATTTTTGACAATGATTTTTTTTATTGCTATAAAAAATAATTATTATGAAAGCTTTTTTTAATACCCCAAAAAGTAATTGTTTTAGTAGAAATTTTATCACACTGTTTTTAAATGAAGTTAAGATTACTTATAACTGAGGATATATTTATAAATAACATTATCGTTAAAGCACAAATTTATAAATGCTTTATACATTATCATTAAAACTTTTATTTGAGACGAATACACTGCATTAGAAATAAATTATAAATTCATAATTAATTAATGTAGCTGTATTATTAATATCTTTTTGTTAATACAAATAGAATAATTAATATCAACATTTTGTGAATAAATTTTGTATTTTCTAATTTGTTTTAATATCTTGATAAGTAATAAGAAATGAATCTTAGGGAGATTCGCATAAAGAAAAGATAAAAATTGAAAGAAAGAAAGAAAGAAAGAAAGAGAGAAAGGACGCTTCTAGGCTTAGGCCTGTGCAAAATGCGGGATTTCAATTTGTTGGAAGTTTCTCGGAGTAGCGAAGGGTGAAGGGACGCCATAGTTTGGTGACCCCACCCCTAGCACTACGCTTCGTTGAGGGGTTCCCCGAGAATAGGGGAGGCTTGCGAATGATATAGGGGTGGCGACGCCATTTTGAATTAGCTATGCTTAGAGAACGAAGGAGAGAGTGAGAGAAAATGCGAGAGGGGGCGTAAGAGCGATGGAGACGCATGGTTTTAAAGGGATACTGAGAGGGGGTAAAATTTTTATGAGAACCTTAGCAATGGTTGCCGGGTCGTCGAGTTTCTCGTCTCTCGAACCAAACTCTCTAAACGTGCTTTTACTGCCTAAACACCCACGCACCTATTCCTTCTCAAGACGAAAATCGATGATGTTATTGTTTCTCTCTCTTTCTATCTCGCTCATTTGCTCTCTTCTCTCTCCCTCTCTCTCTATCTCTTTCTTTCTCTTCCTTCCTCTTTCCTTTTACCCTTCCTGAATTTATAAATGTTTTTTGTACATTTTTTTATTTCTTTAAGAAATAATTATCTTTATTTAATTTATTACAAGAAATAATAATTATTTCATATCTATTATTATTCATTCATTATTCGGATACAAATCTATTTGAATAGAATTGGATGATTACAATTAATTTAAAATTCTATTTATTTATTAAATAATACTTGCATTAATTTTTATTTCTTATTGTTACTTTTAATTCTAACATTAATTTAAAATCTTGTTTAGTTTGATTAGTTTGATAATTGTATTTGTTGAATTCGTAGTATTGATACATGTATTATTATGCTACGTGTTTAACACAATATCTCATATGGAAGGAAATACTAAAAATAATTCTATCCAAATTCGTAAACGCGCAGAATAATTTACGTACTCTACGTAAGTTATTACACGAGTTTATACCGAATGATGTATTGATACATACGAAAATTCTTCATATTTATTTCATTTTCTATCCTATGGCTTAATAAAATGATATTTATATTCTGATGGACTATGCATAATTTATAACTCAATTTAGTTAAAAAAATTTTGCTATATATATTTTGTTATGAGATTATTATAGTTTATATTCAAAGTAGGAAAATTTATTCAATAATTTTAACGATAATGACGTCTCTAAATGACGAATTGAAACTCGATGATCGTTTCGTACGTCACGAGATATTTGATGTGCTGACATTTCCATGACAAAGTATTGTCTATCACGTTAATTTTAAACTTCATTAGAGTAGCGCATGCGTCACATTTAGCCGAAATTAGTGACCATTATTTTTATTGACTAATAATAAGCATTAACGGGATTTTAGTTTGTAGATATTTATTTATACAAACATATATGATCATGACAATTTTGCATAATTACATTTAAAGTATGAATTATTTAAAAGTATCATTGTGAGAGTAAACTAAATAAATTTAAATATTTTATCTATTTTGAAGATGATATAATAAAAATTATTTTTATTAGCCTATTACTTGTCGACGATGCGATTTCTTATTATTATTATTATTATTATTATTATTATTATTATTATTATTATTATTATTATTATTATTATTATTATTATTATTATTATTATTATTATTAATTAGCATTAGGAACTCGAAAGTTCATTTTAATTAAGTAGCAATAAAAAGTTAATAAAATATTTATACAAACATTTGTTCGATAATTTAAAGTAATTTTTAAAAAGATAGGAAATTTAAGAGACAAATAAAAAATTTCTTATATACTATGAAGTTTTATTTACAGTCGTATGTAATGATAGGATTCGAAAAATTATTCTTTTATCTTTTTAATAAGATCTATTCAGTTTCTTCGCCCTCTATATTAAATAGTATAACCGATAGTCGATAAAAAGAAAACTTTCTTATCGACTAAATAAAAAATGTTTGAAAGATCACTTAAAAGGAACGCAATCTTGGTATAGATGTCATGATGCGTTGTTTCTATTAAGTAGGTAAGGTAGATCTCTTTTTTATCGCGAATAATTAATTCCATAATTTAGCTTGGATTTAAATTTAATGAATTTGCCCTAAATAGTTTTCAAAATTATCCCAATATAGTATTGTATCATTATTTGTATACAAATTACAAAGCTTTACGTTTAACACGATTCTCATTAACAAAATATATCGTAAGTATTAGAGAAATCTATTTTTAAGAGTAGCATGCTAAGAGGTGTACGACGAAAAAGAAAAATGGGAATTAGATGCATCGTGAGTGCATATATCAAGCGGCTTGTAAACTGCCCTTAAATTTTGCCCGCTTTAAGCAGGGTGGCTATACGAAAAATCTATGACCCGGCTTAAAAGTGACATTTCTAATTGCACACCATGCTTGCTGCTACACACCAACCAAGCCGTAAAAGTAAATCTCACTTGAAAACGTTCCTTTAATAGAAAACGGAAAAAACAGTAAGAACAGAAAGGATTCTATTAAAAAACTGATTAATGTAATTAAAAAGGATTCTCTTTCCGTTACGTATATTGATGTATAAACAAAAAAAAATGGTAAACAAAAGAATAAAGAAAGAACAAAAGTTTGAAAAAGGAAAGAAAAAAATATACAATAAAAGAGATAGATTTTCCATGAAAATTTATTAATTTACCAAAGTTTCCTTGACGAGAGCGATAATGGTCCCCGAGTTGCTTTTGGCCTAACCTCGTTCCTTTTTAAGTTTTAAATAGTTTCACGCGAGTTTTAATTAGGAAATTCATCCCACCATTCGATCCTCTCCCCCACCTATCTTTCCTCCTCCTCTGTATTCGCCTCTCTGTGTTACTTTCAACGAACGTTCACCCACCACCGAAGTAGAGGACAAGAGTTGAAGCTTGATGACGGTTAGTGGTAATAAAAAAAAAAGATAATTCCTCTTAACTTACTATAATCTTAAAAAATTATTATAATTCTGTCGATATTTGTCATTTGTATGTTTCGACTTTATCCGACATATTAAATACGCACTAGCATAGCAAATAAGACGTCAAGATAAATTATAAATTTAAATATAAAAAATTATTGTAAACATATGGAAATATGTATAAGAAACAAGTTAAATAATATCGAATAATTAACTAATAAAATAAATAATATCAAAATTTAATGATTAGTTTTAAATACAATAATGAACCTAAAAAAGAAATAATTTACATAATTATTATTTCTTGCTTAAGGTTAATAATAGCAAAAAGTACAAGATACATAAATAAAATGTTAAAAATGTGGAGATCGTTAACGTCC